GATCGCACAAAATGTTCACTTTTGGGTGAGTATTACTCTGAAGCTGTGCATACTACATACACAAAATACATATCAAATTACGCAGGCTCGCGACTACAATAATCTTATAATCGATTTTTAGAAATTCCTCTTTACGTATTAAAGCTAGAAGTAAAATAAAAAAAAACACTCAAAATAGAGCTTCAAAATGTCAGCATCATTTAAAGGTAGATGCAGTTAAAATTTTGAAAAATGATACATAAGGGGTGTAGTCCCCATTTTGTTGGCTTCTAGTTTTACTTTGACACGAAGTGGTTTAATCACAAATCGATAGAGGACAGTACAGGTCGCATTTATGAACCGATTTGGATGAAATTTGACACGAGTCACTTATTTGGCCCAAGGACCCTATTGAAATTGGGAGAAATCGGTTCAGATTTAGATATAGGTCCCATATATATTATCGTCCGATTTAAGGTAAATGGGGCACCAATGGTCCTATATATCTTTCGATTTGCATGAAATTTAGCACAGCGTACTAAACTAGATCCAGAATGATATGTGCAAAGTTTCGAGAAAATCGGTTCAGATTTAGATATAGCTCCCGCATATAGTTTCGTCCGATTTTATATAAATGGTCCCTATATATCATTCCATTTGCATGAAATTTGGCATAGAGTAATGAATTAGGTACAGAATGATGTTTGCCGAGTTTCGAGAAAATCGGTTCAGATTTTGATATAGCTCCCATATATAGTTTCGTCCGATTTTATATAAATGGTGCACCAAAGTCCCTATATACCTTTCGATTTGCACGAATTTTGGCATTGAGTACTGAATTAGGTCCAGAATGATGTGTGCTAAGTTTCGTGAAAATCGGTACAGATTTAGATATAACTCCCACATATAGTTTTGTCCGATTCTATGTAAATGGTGCACCAAAGTGTCTATATACTTTTCGATTTGCATGACATTTTGTAAAGCGTACTGAATTAAGTCTAGAATGATGTGTGCTAAGTTTCGCGAAAATCGGTTCAAATATAGATATAGCTCCCGTATATATTTTCGTCCAATTTAACGTAAATGGGGCACCAAAGTCCCTATATATCCTTCGATTTACACGAATTTTGGCATAAAGTACTGAATTAGGTCCAGAATGATGTGCGCCTAGTTTAGAGAAAATCGGTTCAGATTTAGATATAACTCCAATATATATTTTCCTCCGATTAAATGTAAATTGTGCACTAAAGAACCAAAGGTTGGTCGACCCGCACACAATTTTGTACAATGTGCTGAAGTTAATATAACCTTGTGTGTGTCAAATTTTCTTGAATTTGGTTCAGATTTACATATGGTTCCTATATAAACTTTAGTCCGATTTTAAGTAAATGGTGTACTAAACACCCATAGCCGATTGGCAAAGAGTACTGAAATTAGAATAAATTAATCTCAGGCAAGTTTCCTTGAAATCGGTTCAGAGTTAGATATAGCATAGCTTTCATATATAATTTCGAGCTATTCATGTTGATTGTAAACCAAATAATCAATGGGTGCTTGATTGATATTACATTTTAAACAGTGAAGCATACCAAATAGCGTGTGTCAAGTTTGCTTTAAATCGATTTACAAAATTTAGCATAGGTTGCAGAATGACATGTGTAGGGATTGATGTTAGTCGGTTTACATATAGATAAATATCACATAAGTTCGTTCAATTTCAATTTCACGTCAATGTTCCTGCGAAAAGGCGACGTCTGTAAGGATACATATGTAGAATATACCCAAAGTGGTGAAGGGTAATATATAGTCGGCCCAGTCCGACTTTACTACTTTCCTTACTGGTTTTACATTAAAGTAGACACAGCTTCCACCAAAATAAAGTTGGAGGTCAATATGATGAACAGTTTGCAACGACAGATCAATTAACCCGAAACTATTCACTTTTTTCATATACTTAAGTAATTCCCGAGTTATGAAGGGGTGAACCTCCGCTTCAGCTATGTTAAAAAATTGGCAATATTGCCCATATATATAAAGATTTTGCAGGAAAATTTTAGTTTCAGAACCTAGTGCCAAGCAGTGCCAGAGTATATTTTAATTGTTATAGAATTAGTCGACATTATCTCTATTTTGGGTTCGAATTGTGTAGCACATATTCTTACCAAAAATTATCAATTTTGGTCCAGTTTTTGGAGCAGCTCCCACATAACGGTACCACCCTAATTTGTTTTATGGGGGGATATTGTGCGTGTTTTTCAGCTAAATTACCTGTAATTTAGTATTTTGAATTCTCATCGGGTGTGAAAACAATCTATATGAACGTATGTTTCTGGTAAACGCCGTATAATCGGACCATACATTATTCGGTGTATTGATGATTTTGGTCATGCTTTTAAACCAAATTGGCTATATTTTAATTTTAATTAATTGATTAGTTTAATTAGTTTTATACCCATATTACATAAACTAGTGATTTCATGCTAAGAAACTGCTAAGAAATGAAATTTTATTTTTTTGGTTGATCCGCCATTTTGTATCATCTTATTTGATTTTCAAAATTTAACTTTTTCTTACAGAATCGTAATCAGCATCCCCGAAACCCTTATGTGTGATATTTATTTTGTAATCCCAATAAATTGGATCTGTGGCCTATAGTGGGTTCGTCAGAACAAGTGTAAATTGACAATCTATATCTTATATTCCGGATCTAAATTCCCAAACCTGTTTTAATGGTAGAATGTTAACTATCTGGAACCTTGCCAACCAAATTATAAAAACTTCAGGATTTTTTTTTATCTTAGATCAATTTTGAAGATTGAGTTTATAGGTTAACTCCTCATTCTGATATGCATACGAGGGATTATTTAATTAATGAGGGAACCTAGAAAAAACTCATTTTATGATAGGACCTCGAACTTATCGAAAAATACGTGAGACAAAGATGATTAAAATTCTCAAAATATCTAATAATGGTGCTGCCGTTATATGGGGCTATAATAAAACAGAGATCAAATTAAGAGTTTTGGTACAGCCAATCAAAATACCAAATACCTAAATATAAAAACTAGTACCAAAAATATATAACAAATTAGTATTTGTTAACATTTTTTACAGTTTTTTTAAAAAAAGTAAAATTTGCCGAATGTGCCCCTACCCGGGATAGCTTCGGCATTTTATGGGGCACATTCGGCACTATGACTAGTCTGGTAATTATCACCGCTATCAGTCTGGTTGAAATTCACATCATTTACAGGTTCTATTTTGTTTTAAAGCTATATTTTCCAACAGCGGACGTTAACGTCTCAGGCGACATGGTATTTATTAAGTTGGTTGGGTTTTGGTAATTTTTAATAAGATTATGATCAGGGTGCAATTTAATATTCACAACTTTGTACAGAAGTGATCGGATATTGTATCTTTCCGATTAGTCCTGATGAGAGGACATCGACGGACTGCCTGATAGCCATGTGACCGCGAAGGATCTTCTATGGGTTTCTTTTATTAGTTTTCCAGACGCTCTGTTTTAATCGATCACTGCATAGTAGACCTCGTCCTCGTAAATTACTGTAATGTTATGTTTTTTAACCCTACCAACAATTATTAATATCGAACTCCGTTTTGGCATAACTCCTATATTATGGTAACATGCACTATTCAGGACTTCAATAATTTTGTACCTCTTTTTTAACCATCACGCTTCATATTCAGTATGTTCAAGGTCCTTGCCCAACATGTGTATCAGAAGTTTCGTTTTCCCCTGAAAATTTCCCTGGCCTTCCGCCAGGTTTCATATTATTAATTTTTTCTCTATAAAATACAAATTTATATGTGATGAACATATTTTGAGAATTTTCCATAATTGACCATTTCTTATACGCTGACAATTTTCGACTAAAAAAGAACTACGAAGTTATGAAATCATAAAACTTCAAAAAAAAAAAAAAAAATGTATGGAAATGCAAATATCCTTAAACATATATTTTGCAACATTTTCGCGGATTTTTCTCGAAATGTTCCTTCTTTAAAAACATTCCACTTTAATAACAGACAACTGAAAGTAATTTATTTCATAAAAACCTTCCCACTGCAATTACCGACAATTGAAACCCATTTTGAGTAAAATCGGTCCAGCTGCTCATAATTGATGAGTTACTATACATTTTATACTCCATTTTTATACCCTTCTTCACACTGTGGTACAGGGTATTATGTCTTTGTGCATATGTTTGTAACAGGCAAAAATAATCGAGATAGACCCATGGTTCCTTTTGAGAATATGCATAGAATCACTTTCTAAGTCGATTTATGCATGTCCGTCCGTCCGTCTGTCCATGTTAAATTGTAAACGAAGTACAGGTCGCATTTATGATCCGAATTGGATAAAATTTGGCACAGTTAACTTATTTCGCGCAAGGACGAACCCTATTGAAATTGGGAAAAATCGAATCAGATTTAGATATAGCTCCCATATATATTTTCATCCGATTTAAGGTAAATGGTGCACCAAAGTCCCTATATATATTTCGATTTGCACGAAATTTGGCACAGCGTAATGAATAAGGTCACGAATGATGTGTGCGAAGTTTCGCGAAAATCGGTTCAGGTTTAGATATAGCTCCCAAAGACCCTATATATGTTTCGATTTGCACGAATTTTGGTATAGGGTACTGAATTAAGTGTAGAATGATGTTGCTAAGCTTCGTGAAAAGATCCATAGCTTGGCCGATTGACACAACGTGATGATCTTATATAAATTTGTCTCTGGCAAGTTTCCCTGAAATTTATTCAGATATAGATTTATAACAAAACGCGTCGTCTGTTAGGATACATATGTAAAATATACCCAAAGTGGTGAAGGGTATCATATAGTCGGCCCAGTCCGACTTTACTACTTTCCTTACTGGTTATATATATAGATTTACTCGAAACCCTTGTATATTTGATGTTATAAACAAATGTTTTTTTGCAATAGATTTTTATTTATGCCACTTCTTTATGTATTATTTTCCCCCCTATTGCAGGTCATCAACAATTGCCTTTGTACCGCAACAACCATGGCTGCTGAATGCCAGTATACGTGAAAATATTCTATTTGGCGAATCATTTCGACCGAAACGTTATGACTTTGTGTTGGATGCCTGTGCTCTAAAGCCGGACATAGATTTGATGCCAGCGGGAGATTTAACTGTTATCGGCGAGAGAGGCATTAATTTGTCGGGTGGCCAAAGGCAACGTGTGGCAATTGCCAGAGCCTTGTATTCATCGGCCAATGTGGTGATAATGGTAAGGAATAACAACCAAAATTTTCATATTTTTTTTTAATAATTTGATATCAATCGAAAAATATTTGGAATTGTATGGGAGTAAGTGTGGGGTGTTCTTGGCCATGATGCTTCGAGTTAAACTGATGTCATTTGTCATAATATTTTTGCTCGGCGTAATTCTTCTCTTCGTTCAACTTTTAATATTTCGTTCTTTCATTTAACCATGTCTGTTTTCCTTTCTCATTTCAAGGATGATCCCTTATCATCGCTGGACAATGAAGTGGCCCGTCACATTTTCGAACAGAGCATTAAGAAGATGCTGCTGAAAGCCAATCGCACTGTCATTTTGGTGACACAACAATTAAATCTGGTACAACAGGCGCACAATGTAAGTAACCCTACAGCCAAACTGAAAATCCATTCGAAAAAGGCATCCCCCCATCGCCCCGCAAACATTTTATTTTATGACATTTCTGTTAGCTTTGGATTTGAAAACAGAGACATTATTAAAACATCATGATCATCATCATCGTCATTGCCAATGGCCTTAAGGTGTGAGTGACAGTTATTGGTAAATTAATCAAACAAAAATGACATTTGCAATTTTTTGTGTTCTTGTTGTTCTCTTTTGAAATGTTTGCCAAATGTCAACATCCTCTCACCCAAACCCTTGTCAGATATCATTTTATCTATTTCCTATTAGAAAATGTTCATTGATTCGAATTTTCTATTTTTTATTAGAAATTTTGTTTGTCCATTATGTGAAAATTTCAGCATCTCTTGACTTTTCCTGGAAATATGAATTTAATTTATTGCATTGCTTGTCCTCTACTGCTGACTATCCAATTCATAAACACTTGTAATGCCTTGTTTCCGAACCTTTTCATTTCAATGACATTTTTTCCATCATCTCCTTCTTTCATCTGCTTTGGCGGATGTTGGAATACGAGTAAATTTTTTGAAATATTGAATCGCTCTCTTTGCCTTGCTGTTGTTGTTTTTGTTTTTTTTTTGTTATTTGTCGTCATCTCTTTTGCAGTTAATTGTATTGAAAGATGGTTGTCTTCAGGCATCCGGCAGCTATAAGGAGATCGCAGCCACTCATCCACACATAATCGCCAAATGGAATTCAATAATTGCAAAAGCCAATGAAAAGGAACAACAAAACAAGTAAGTACAAGAATTCCCTTTTTCATAGGAAAAAGGGCAAAGTGAGTTTTTCGTGATTAATGTTATTTGAATGCGGGAAAAAAGTTTGATGGGAAATGGTAAATTAAAATTTGTTCGCCAGCAGTCTTTTAGACATTTTTGTAGTAACAACAGTAATTGCAATTAGGGGAGACTGGGACACTTTCGGCATCGGGGCACATTCGGCAATCGCGTTTTCGATATGAACCGGACATCACTTGCTTTGATACATAGGTATCGAATACCAAAATAAATAACTGTTGCAAAGTTTGAAATCTCAAGCTAATATACTTATTTAGATGCAGGGTTTTTTGTATTTTTACAGATGTTTTTGTAATATTTCCATTCCATTTCGTAAGTGTTTCGGGTATAATACTTCTAAATTCTTAAGGCAGTATTATTAGAAAATAGTTAATTACAATGTGCATTCTTATAAAAATAATTAAAAATATAACGTTTTTAGAAGATTGATAGACATACATGAAAAAAATACCTTCAGGATAGATGCGGTATTTTGATGTGGGGCACATTCGGCCATATACAGATAGTGCGATATTATTCCCTTAAAATGTTTTTGAGTTTGTCTTGAAAAATAATCCTTTAATATGGTTCGAAATTACATATATAAGACCAAAACTTCTTGTATTGACGAAAATGCGATAGAAAAAAGCTATTTCTGATGTTGTGTGTGGCCTTGAGATGTCAACGTCCGCCGCCAGAAAATATAGCATTAAAAATCCAACTTTGAGTCGCATATTCAAGCAAAATGGAACATTTAGAGGACCTGAATTTCAACCCCACTGATAGCGGTGTCTATGGTGCCGAATGACAGGGCCATAACTATCGTTTCGAATGTGCCCCTTCAAATGCCGAAGCTATACCGGGTAGGGGCACATTCGGCGAATGCGACATTTTTTTACAAAACTGTAAAAATGTTTAACTAATACTAATTTATTATATGTTTTTGGTACAAGTTTTGATAATTAAGTATCCGGGGATAATAAACAGCTATAACGTTTTTATATCTATTGTATAAGTACTGTGATATAGAGCTCTAAAAAAAAGTGCCGAAGGTGCCCCAATCTCCCCTACCAGACGAAACTGAAATGGTAAAAAAAGTACAGGTAGCATTTTTGATTCGAATTGGAGGACATTTGGCACAACTGATTTATTTGGTACAAGGACGAACCCAATTGAAATTGGGAAAAATCGGTTCAGATTTAGGTATAGCTTCCATACATATTTTCTTCCGATTTCAGGTAAATGGTGCATCAAAGTACCTATTTATCTTTCGATTTGCACGAAATTTGTCATAGCGTACAGAATTAAGTCTAGAATGAGTTGTGCTAAGTTTCGTGCAAATCGGTTCAGATTTAGATAAAATAATAAAAAATATTTTTCTATGATCTAAAATAGGCGTGAAATTTGTATACCCTTCACCACACTGTGGTACAGGGTATTATGTCTTTGGGCATATATTTGTAACATGCAAAAGGAAACGATATAGACGATGGTTCCTTTTGAGAATATGCATAGAATCACGTTTTATGTTGATTTATGCATGCCCGGCCGTCAATCCATGTTAAATTGTAAAAATTTGGCACAGCTCATTTATTTGGCCCAAGGACGAACCCTATTGAAATTGGGAAAACTCGGTTCAGATTTAGATATAGCTTCACCAAAGTACCTATTTATCTTTTGATTTTCACGAAATTTAGCATAGCGTACTAAATCAAGTCTAGAGTGTGTTGATCCATAGCTAGGCCGACTCATACACCGTACTGAAGTTACGTCGTTAAAGGTGACAAATCCGAATTGATAGGTAATTATTTCCCACAAGAATAAGGGACATAACCATAGTGATACCAGGTCGGATAAATAATGCAATCTGGCAACTTCTCAATTCTCCATATACTACTCAAATTCATAATATCTGAACGCCTGAACCATGAGAAAGCTGAACGAGAGCTGCCCATACTTTCAAATCCTCGGGCATCTGAGAGAAATTTACTACTGCTGATGCACGCTTTATACCTTATGGATTAAGATATAGTTTCCATATATATTTTCGTCCGATTTCAGACGAAAATCTTTAGATTTTCACGAAATTTAGCATAGCGTACTAAATCAAGTCTAGAGTGTGTTGATCCATAGCTAGGCCGATTCATACTTCGTAATGAAGTTAATATAAATTTATCTCTGGCAAGTTTCCTTGAAATCGGTTCAGATATATATGTAATATCGGCCTATTCATGCTAATTGATTGAGATTAAATTTGAAACAGTGCAGCATATCAATTAGTGTGTCTCAAGTTTGTTTAAATCGATTTACAAAATTTAGCATAGGAAGCAGAATGACATGTAAGCGTGGATTTAAAAAATATTTTTTCCATGATCTAAAAAAGTTAATTGCGGACACGTCGTTTAAAAAAGTAATATCATTCAGGAAATTCTGTAATTTGTTTTTAGAAATTTACTGAATGCTTCCTCAATTAATAACGTAGGACGTTCCAATTTATAGTACTGTACTTATTTCCGCCGCCATTAACACTTTTTATTAGGTAAATTTTTTTGGCGGCTTCAATCATCAAAATCACACCGTGGTCAATTACTCACGTAAAAACTTAATTGAAATCCCTTCCAATGAGAATTGCCCACTCTTACTTAGCTGACATTTATAAAATAATTCCGGGAATTTGAAACCACACATAAGGCAACCATTTTCAACAACCTCAGGATATTTACAACAACATGTACAAGAAAATGGTAGGGGGCAAGTGTTTTACTTGACAGCCTCTTTCACACAGCTTAAATACTCGTAACTAACTTAAAAGTGGAGAAGAATTGCTGTACACATGGTAATAGGCGGTTTTCTTTTTTTTTACTTTTACCCTAAAGGACTTCCGTCCTGAACTTAAAAAAACTTGGGAAATACAATTGTTGATGGTGTTTTTCATTGAATTGTTGTTCAATAGCATCATCGCCACCACCGTCATCATCACCACCACAAAACAAACGGCAATTCATTCGCTGTTGTTCCGTCGAACCCCATTAACTTTTCAACGTGGGACGAACGAAACAAACTCCCATTTGGCGGATGACAATGTAACAGACGTTGTTTTAACTGATATCTTTATTCTTGAATTCATATCCTTTTCAATTGGTTTTTTGATGTTTTTCTTGTTTTTTGTTTTTGTTCTTATCGTTGTTGTTGCACAGCCCCAACGAAAACACCGCTTTAGGCCGCACAGCCCGTGAACGTTGGAAATTATTTAAAAATGTTTCGAAATTGGGTTTATTGCGTTCCACCTCCTGTACAACACAACAATCCACCGGATCTACAACGGAGAGCAATGGAGGAGGTGGCAATGATGCCATTGATATGGCAACGGAAATGAAAGCAACTTCTGCCGAAAATATATTGGCCGCTGACAACGAAGATGACGAGTACACAATCATGCCAGCGGTAAGTGTAAATTATTTATTATTTATTTTAGATACTGGTTAAATGAAAAAGGAGAATTTAAATTGAAAAATTACAAAATTATCTTTATGTTTAAACTTTTTCGTAATAGATATTAAAATTGGTAAATATTTAAATGGAATTTTTGAATGACCAGAGGCAAATGAAATGTTGTAGATCGTTTACTCGAATATTCTGAATTAACAATGTATGATAATTGTTCAAATGAGAATAGTGAAAATTGGATATTCGACTTTCTATATTCGAATTGACCTCTACATCTCTTATATTGGATTACAAGGTCAACAGTGTTTTTGTCAACTGATTTCTTTGGACACTATATGTTTCGTCCTCGATTTTTGTGCAAATGAGTAGTTATTTTGAAAGTGGTTTAAGGGGACCCTCTCCGTTCTCGGTTTCAAGAAAATTGATTTTGTATTTTGATTTAATTCGAACCTACACTAATTCAAGAATGTCTCTATAAATTTTCAAGTGAAAATCTCAAAAAAATTTGAAGACATAGCCGATTTATTGTGTTAGCATTAAGTTCGGATCAGACCACCTAGCAATCATGGTCTCCGTTTATAGACCACGGGACTTCATAACATCTGTACGTCGTATTTTCTTGAACCATGTGAAAGAGAGCTTTCTATACTCTCAAGTCTTCAGGTATATGAGAGAAATGTTCTACTGCTGCTACACGCTTTATACCTGCTAGACGAATACCCGAAGCAAGACATCTATGTTCGGTCATACAACGCCTGAAGAAAACTTATTCTCGAAGTCAACAGGCTAGCATGCGAGTGCAAATGTGTATAAACCACCGGAAATCCTTCAAATCCTCGGGTATCTGAGAGAAATTTACTACTGCTGATGCACGCTTAATACCTTATGGACGAATACTCGAAGGAACACCAAGTTTCAAGCAGAGGTGATGGTAATGGTCAATGAGCTTAATAATTTTGCACAGTGAACGAGTATATCTCACAAGGATGTCTCTCTTTATCCACATCTCGCCAGACATAACCATAGTGGCACTAGGTCGGATAAATAACGTAACCTGGCAACCTATAATTTCCATCGGATCAGACCACCTCCCTATCATTGTCTTCGCATTGATCATACCCTCAAATTCTGGGGTATCGGAGAGGAATTTCCGGAAAATCATCACTTGCTTGCGGCAGCAGAGCATTGTACCCGATACCAATTTTTCCAGCCGTGACGACGGTATTGGCAAACAAACGTGGCAAGTTTCGTCGTACGACACCTGGAGAACCAAGTGTAGGAAAAGTTACTCTTGAAGTGAACAGACCCATATGCGAGTATAAAAGGAAAAAGTGGATAGACCAACTGAATAGACCAACTTTACAAGACCGGACCGGAACAAGTAAATTGTGAGGCATGTTAAGATACCTCCGAGAGTGACAAAGCGAAGAGGAGTGTACTACGTTAGATAAGAAATCTCGTAGACGAAAAGATAACACCACAATTTACAAAATAATGTAGATGTGTCATCCAAAGCCTTAGGCTTGGATGGTAATGCTTAAGAAATTTGATGAACCTGGAGTTGAGAACATAAACTTTGCCATAGTTCCTGGATACCGACAACCATGCCAAACTCTTCGAGGACGTCGAAGAGTCCAATAAATTTTAAACCAGAGAGCGGATCAGTATAGTAGGACGGGGCCGACCATAAGATAAACAGCCGTTCTAAATATTTGGTTAGATCAGCTTAATTGTGTAAAATAAGTGATGTTCTGCATATAATATTGACCTTTAGAGCGACTAGAAAATCTGAACAAAAAAAGTTTTCGGTTCATTGCGACCCCTAAATTAATTCAATTAAATTTATAACCTGAGATTATGTATAATTATACTAAATCTATGGTTATGTGAAATTCAAAAACGTGAAATCGGTGACCGGTGCAGTGGGGTAATTCTTCCCCGAGGTGGGGTAATTCTTCCTTTCTAATATTCCACAACAGCCGGACGGCATAGAGAAGGTAATGTATGCGGATTATTGCACGATTATGGCGTAGCGTCCCATTATTGATGACATATGGGAGAGGATAAACGGCTAGATAGCTGATCTTGTGAGTTTCTTTCACCTGCGGAAGATGCAAATATTCCCCACCAAATGCACATACACACTTGACGTCTTAAACGGACCCCTCCATTGTCGCTTTCAAAAAATCTGAACAACTCTTGAAGATATAGTCTATTTATTGTGCCAGCATGAAGGAACGCAAGAGTGCTTCTCAAACTTTAAGAAGGTTTTTTTCGAAAGAGTATCGTATCAATTAGGTGAAGATTTTTCCTTTCGGCATAAAATTGGCGATTATTCAAAAAAAAAAAAAAAAAAAAAAAAACCCAAAACTTAGCTGTACTCTTTCCAATTGCGTTGGAATTTTGAGATTTGGATGAAGACTTGGATGTTCAAGTGATCGGCAATCATCGAAAGTAATTTTATTTCATTACAAAAAACAACAACAAGACATCAAGAACAACATTTTGAAAACTTATTTTTTTATCTTTAAGTCTTCAAATATATTTATACAAAGTTACAAGTCCTTAACATAATGCCAGCCGATTGAAAATCTTCGAAATTTGAAATCGTGAATGGGTGAAGCTCCAGCTGAAAATAATCTTCTATGGAGATATAGATTCCGCTCACCAAATACTCAAAGATATTGGGTGCAACGTTTGACGGCCTTTAAAATTCATCCGAAGTAAGAACAAGGTTCTCAAACCGCTGACCGACAACACTTGAGGTGTTGACAAGGAGACCTTTTTGAGGCAGACCTAAATTCGTCCAGATACAGTCTCCTAGGCAGTAGAACAATGCTGTATGAATGTAATACCGTTCACCATCATCCATAGCAGTAGATAATAGAATAGATGATGGTGAACAGCCTAGATTGCTGTATTCGGAGGCCAACCACAATCTATAGCAGCAGATGAGATGCTTGGTCTCCTAGTTGCCTAGACAGACAGGAGTAGTTAAAGTAAGTATCTTACTGGGTAAGAAATGACGGCACATGTCCACAATGTGGACTAGGATCACACGGCACGTTGCATTTATCTAAATGCCCAGATAAGACTGTCTCCAAATTCTTTATAGATACAGCCCATACAGAACCAGACAACACATAATGAAGGCAACACTTAGTGTCTGATATATACGTAGCTTTCGTAATAACGTAACATTTTTTCAACCATTATATTATATCGGTACACAGAGAGCTTTGAGCTTCTAATTTAAAAATATTTCGGAAATAATATAAGGAGTGTGTATGTATTTAAAATTTTATTATTTTTTTATTTCAGACCTCTTCAATGGCTTGCAATTCCGGCTTTAAGCTATCCCGCACACCATCTGGTTTCTACAGTTCTCGACATTTAATCTATGACGTCCCACTGCCTCTGGATGAATGTCAACTTGAAGGAGTACCGTTGCGACGTCGTCGACGTACTGGTAGTGATACCTTTCGCAGTGGTCATAGACCCAGTTCTCGAACCTCAAGTCGCCTCAGTAATATCAGTAACACCCCAACCGAATTACGCAGAAGTTTACTTACCGATAGTGTTGGCAGTGCTGTCAGTTATATGACAAATTTAAGTAGTAGTGAAGAGGCACCATCACGTACCCAATCATGGCAACCCGTGGCACCGATGAGCAAACATCAACCATTGACCAAGAATGTTTCAGCACCACCAGCATTTGTGGAAAATGGTGAAGGTAAAGATGAAATCGATGCGGCTGAATCTCCATTGGAAACGGGTAATGGTTTTCAACAATTCCTTAGACGTATGACTATGCGTAGATCGAATAAATCGAAAACGGTTGCCCCGGCAGCACATCATCACAGGCCCAGACCTGGTAGTGGAGATACAGCTATTGTGTAAGTGTTTTTGTTTTTGTTTCCTTATTTTGTGTCTTTATTTTCCAGAGCATTCAATGAAATCCATATTGCTTTTGTGTGTTATGCCAACAATGTAATGAAATTTACTTTTAATTCCATCACTTGAAAATCATCATCATCATCAGCAACGTCATTGCCATCCGGCTATGTCGGTACTTTATCTCTCCATTCATCTTCCTCCCTATATATGAAATGATATACAATTGCAATTTATAGTTTACTCTTCTATAAAAATACCAATAACAATTCATTTTCTTTCATTCATTCATCCATCCATTTATTCCTCGATTCTTCTTGGCCACCTACAGGAGCATCTCGGAGGAATCGTCTGGCATAGCTGGTTCATCAGTGCCATCCATTGAATTGAGCTCAGTGCTAACGGATGCAACTGAAACTGAGACGGAAAGTTGGATTGCCGGTATTGAAAATGAGGAATCCATTCAAGGTATGTATGTATGAATGTATGTAGCATCACACACACTAACATACATATGTGTGAACTCACACTTCTCTATAAGTATCCAGGATGCCTAGACTCAATAGATACGTAGAATGCACTGTGGGAAAAGTCATAATCCACAGCCATCACAGCATAGCTATCATTACACTCAACATCCTGTTTGTTTGTGTGAGTGTGGATGAGTGCAGTCGTGTGTGTTGTCAGTTGCCTGTGGCTTGCTGGCTGACTGGCTGGATAGCAAACTGTCTCACTGTATGCCTGTCTGCTGCTGCCGCATGCTATGCCATGGCTATGAAGTTGCGTCATTCGTTTTTTTTTTGTTCCTGTGTGTCCTAAACTAAAAACTTTCCCATTGATTATTATCAATTGTACGAACAAAAGGTGTTTATTAAGCACTAATGATAACTGATGTTCGATAATATCCCTTGGCAGGTATTGAGGCAAAAATATTTATATCTATAGTTTTCACATCCAAAATTGAATTGATTCCAATCCGAATTTTTAATTGAATTGGAGTAAATTGAATCGAATGGCGAACGTTGTTGAATAATTGAAATCGAACAGGAAATAACAAATAAATATTGATAGTCACCCAGAGGCCTAGGCAATATTGACAGCGTTTTGGGAACGTTGTTTTTGCATAGTGGCGTTGAAGGGGGTTTGTTATGGATTGAATTAAAGTGTAAGTCGTTTATAGTGCATTACACATAATGGATAATTTCAGGTATAGTTCATTGTTATTTTTTACTATAAAACGAAAATGTCAGATATCGTCTATTTCTCAAAAAAATGGGTATTCAGGACCTAAATGTTGCCATTAGAAAGATTTTTTTATTAATGTTGTCATTAATATGTGAAAATATATTTCAGAGGCAATAGTAAAATTCGGGTTCTTAATTGACAAAGCAGTTCCACACAGAAATATTTAAGTATAGTACGTGGTTCTGACCTTGTCAATATATAAAGGTCCCCACCTGATTTTTTTTACTCCTCGCCTTATATGTCTCCACTATGGACCAGGAACCCAACTTTTTGTCAAAAAATCAATTTCAGGTATAGAGGAAAAACCGTGATGTATTTCAAATCTTTAGACTTTGAAACTAACTTTATGTGTCACGGTCTACAAATGAAATGAGGTCAATGCCAAAATATCATATTTTTGTGAATACAATTTATACTTGAAAAATGTTATATAACATTCACATGTGTCAAAATATTAACATGGAATGTCGGTCAATTATGAAGGTGAAAATTAGTATTAATTTTAAGATAATCATAAAAAATCGTATTTAAAACTCGTAAATAAGATTTTTCTTATTAAAAATCGAGTATCAGAACCTAGGACATTTATATATACATTTATAAAATATTGTGTAGTTTTTCTAAAACACTAATTTTAAGATGCACATTTTTTGAGTTATTTTTGCCGTCTTCGTTAAATCTACTCAGAGTTTTAAATGTGTTCCCCCCGATTCCTCCGGTCATGCTTGGTTTTAATATTGGTACATTTGTCTATACTTCGAAAAAGCAGTAATATACTAACTCAGAGTCGTGTGTAAACATTTAATTTTTGAATGTTGGTGGATGCGTGCTGTTATTGTTAAATGTGAACAAACAATTGTGTTGATATTATTGTCAAATGCGATTATTCTTTTCTTTATTGACACTCTGCTATAGGTAAATCTTATCTGAACTTAAAAATAAAGATATCAAACGATTTAGACTCCATCATACCAGAAAAACTTCCCACGTGGCAACGAATACTGATTTGCTAAATCGATTACTCCTAAGTTCAGACCCATATACTACTGGTCAGAGAAGAATACCATGCAGCAAAAAACTACTTTGTTGAAATCTGTTTCTGATTTGTTGGAAGAAATGTGAAAATTAATGCATGTCTTATAGATATTTGTATAATAATATTTATACCCTTCATCACACTGTGGTACAAAGTATTATGTCTTTGTGCATATGTTTGTAACAGGCAAAAATAATCGAGATAGACCCATGGTTCCTTTTGAGAATATGCATAGAATCACATTCTGAGTCGATTTATGCATGTCCTCCGTCCGTCTGTCCATATTAAATTGTAAATTAAGTACAGGTCGCAATTATTATTCGAATTGGATGAAATTTGGCACAGCCCATTTATTTGGCCCAATGACAAACCCTATTGAAATTGGGAAAAATCGGTTCAGATTTAGATATAGCTATATAATTTCGTCCGATTTAAGGTAAATGGTGCACCAAAGTCTCTAAATATCTTTCGATTTGCATAAAATTTGGCACAGTTTACTAAATTAAGCATAGAATTATGTTTGCTAATTTTCGTGAAAATCGGTTCAGATTTAGATATAGCTCCCTATATACTTTCGTCCGATTTAAGGTAAATGATGCACCAAAGTCCCTATAACTCTTTCGATTTCCACGATATTTGTCACATCGCACTGAATTGAGCGTAGAATGATGTTTGCCAATTTTCGTGAAAATCGGTTCAGATTTAGATATAGCTCCCATATATTGCTTCGCCCGATTTTAGGTAAATGGTACACCAAAGTCCTTATAAATCTTCCGATTTGCACGAAATTTGGTACAGCGTGCTAAATTAAGTCTAGAACGATGTGTGTTAAATTTCATGAAAATCAGTTCAGATTTAGATATAGCTCTCATATATATTTTCGTCCGATTTTAGGGAAATAGTACCTTAACGTCCTTTTATATCCTTCGATCTGCACTAAATTTGGCATAGCGTACTAAATAAAGTCTAGAACGATGTGTGTTAAATTTCTTGAAAATCGATTTAGATTTAGATATAGCTCCCATATATAGTTTCGTCCGATTTCATGTAAATGTTTCACCAAAGACCCTATATATCCTTCGATTTGCCCGAAATTTGGCATAGCGTACTGGATTAAGTTTAAAATGATATGTGTTAAATTTCGTGAAAATCGGTTCACATTTAGATATTGCTCCCATATATATTTTCGTCCGAATTTATGTAAATGGTGCTCCAAAGTCCTTATATATCCTTCGATTTGCACGAAATTTTGCACAACATACTGAATTAAGTCTAGAAAGATGTGTGTAAAATTTCGTGAAAATCGGTTCAGATTAGATATAGCTCCCATATATATTTTCGTCCGATTTTATGTAAATGATGCACCAAAGTCCCTATATATCCTTCGATTTGCACGAAATTTGGATTTATAAGTAAATGAAGAACTCAAAATATGGCCGAAGGCACAAAACATACTGAAGTACATGTGACAAGTTTCGATGAAATCGGTTTAGATTTCGATATTTTATATTTTAAATTTTTATTTAGATAATTTTGTCCCATTGTAAGAAGCAACTCTATATCCACCAAAATTCAGTATAGGTTGCAGAATGACATGTTTAATTTCATGTTAAAAAATGCAACGTCTGTTAGGATTCCATCTGTGGAGTATACCCAAAGTGGTGAAGGGTATCATATAGTCGGCCCCGTCCAACTTTACTACTTTCCTTACTGTTTTTTATACCCTTCACCACACTGTGGTACAGGGTATTATGTCTTTGTGCATATGTTACAGGCAAAAATAATCGAGATAGACCCATGGTTGCTTTTGAGAATATGCATAGAATTACTTTCTGAGTCGATTTATGCATGTCCGTCTGTCCGTCCGTCCATGTATTTTTGTTAACAAAGTACAGGTCGCATTTATGATCCGATTTGGATGAAATTTGGCACAGGTCACTTAATTAGCCCAAGGACGAAGCCTATTGAAATTGGAGAAAATCGGTCCACGTTTAGGCATAGCTCCCATATAAGGGTACCCCCCAATTTTCGGTATTTTGAGGTTATTTAGCACGTTTGTGCACCAATGTCCCTAAATATCTTTCGATTTGCACGAAATTTGGCACAGCGTACTGAATTAAGCCTAGAATGATGTGTGCTAAGTTTCGTGAAAATCGGTTCAGATTTAGATATAACTCCCGTATATATTTTCGTCCGATTTAAGGAAAATGGTGTACCAAAATCTCTGTATACCTTTCGATTTCCACGAAATTTGGTACAGCGTACTGAATAAAGTCTAGAATGATGTGTGTTAAGTTTCGTGAAAATCAAAAATGCGACGTCTGTTAAGATTCATCTGTTGAATTTACCCAAAGTGGTGAAGGGTATCATATAGTCGGCCCCGTCCGACTTTACCACTTTACTTACTGGTTTCTTCATTGATTTTTAAAGTATTAAATAAATTATTTTATTTGTGTATCATAACTACGCAGTGTTAATTATTGAGAGTTGAAAATGCTTTTTCTATTTGATACGTAAAGTATCCATAATTTTGTCTGACTTTTATATTTTTATTTATGTTTAACACGAATATTTTGTCGCACCCTCCCATATAAATGCATCCACGTTGCATTGGTTAAAAATCAAAATATTCTTCGATCAACATTTTTTCTTTGGCGCCAAATTAAAGTCAAAATACTTAATTTCAAGAACAATTTTATTGGTACTCAATACACTTTTTTTGAGTGTACCAAAAATACCAAAAACCAATGTGTATATAACTATCAAAATGCCCATATTGGGGTGGTACCTTTATATTAAGACTATACAAAAACGTGGATCGGTATTGAACATTTTTCGTTTGGTGCTGCCTTGCCTACTTAGAACTCAAAATACTCAAATTTCAATCAAATATGTTGGGAAATGTAGCTATAATCTTCAAAATATATAAGATCGGATGGGACCGTTATATGGGAGCTATACTAAAACGAGGACCTACAAGGTCCATGTTTCTGTCAAAATGTTGTTTACCCACAACGAATCTATACTTGACGCTCCCTCCCATACACCACTAATAAATAGTTGTTTTTTATAAAAACAAAAAACTGGGATTCAGCCTGACTATTTTGCAAAAACAAAATACAAATGGTATCCCAAATAAACCGCCAACACTACTGAATTTAAATTTTAGTTAAAATACAATGTTTAGTCAGATTCGGTGTTTGTGACCTCTAGTAAATTAATATTGAAGATATAGGAACACTATTTTAGAAAATAATGTTTCTAGCTGACAAGTAGAAGAAACATGTGGTATATGTGACCGAGACCGAACCAAGCGAATGTGATTTCCAGATTTCCGAATTCTTTCTTTACCACACTGTGGCACAGGGTATTATGTCTTTGTGCATATGTTTGTAACAGGCAAAAGGAATCGAGATAGACCCATGGTTCCTTTCGAGAATATGCATAGAATCACTTTCTGAGTCGATTTATGAATATCCGTCTGTAGATGTTAAATTGTAAACAAAGTACAGGTGGCATTTATAATCCGATTTGGATGAAATATGGCACAGCTCATTTTTTTGGCCCAAGGACGAACTCTATTGAAATTGATGAAAATTGGTTCGGATTTAGATATAGATCTCATATATATATTTTCTTGCGATTTAATGAAATGGTGCAAAAAAATGTCCTATATATATTTCGATTTGCACGAAATTTGGCATAGAGTACTGAATTAAATAATTTCGATCTATTCATGTTAACTGTACACCAAGTAGTCAATGGATGTCTGATTAAGATTAAATTTTAAACCGTGCAGCATACCAAATAACTTGTGTGAAGTTTGCTTTAAATCGATATACAAAATTTAGCATAGCTTGAAGAATGGCATGTGTAGGTCTCATATTTAACTTCGTTCAATTTCATGCCAATATTCTTTCAAAGTGGTGAAGGGACGCATATAGTCGGCCCAGTCCGACTTTACTACTTTACTGGTTTAAACTTCTGTTAACAAATAAAATCATATCCTGGTCTAACATGAGAACGTCATCAAAACACTTGATACTAATATCTGGAATTTAAAAATTGTAATTTTATTTCCGATAGTATTTTCATTCTATTTAAAGACTTTATTTTGGTTAAAAAAGAGAAGAAAAAATAAAATTACGATTTTCTTGTCCCGTTTTCCTCCTTTTACAGATGTCAATATTGACTATAAAGCTTTGTTGGCAAACAAAGCGAATCACATGGAAAAACATGCCGACAATACCGGAGTTACAACTACAAGCAATATCAATAACAACAACACAGCCACCACCAACATGTTGGCCACCAATGTTACCACTTTGCGAGATGATGCAGCAACACCACCAACAAAAACAACATCAACTGAAATGCCCAATTCCAACGAATTATACTCGGCCAGGCAGGCAAACAACAAGAAACCAACGACGACAACAACAAATTACGATGTCGAACGAAAATATGGTAAAATACCGGCGGAAATCTATTTGCTGTATGTGCGTGCATCTGGTTTCGCAATTGTTTTAATATTTTTCATCACGGCCCTAATTTGGCAAACTTTGCGCGTGTACACGGATGTTTGGTTACAACAATGGACCGATGACAATAAGCCAACGGCAGCGGTAGTGGCAACTGGAGGTAGCGGTGGTGGTAGTAGTAATGGTACATTGCTGGCGCAGCAACATAAAGCGATAACATCCGTAAATATATCCGCAATGCAACAAATGGGTGTCCACAATTACGCAACAACCGGCCGTGCCACCACTACTGCCATTGATGATGATATGGAAAATCTGTTCGCTGGCCCTTCATCTCCGACCAACAGCAGTACGCATCACGAAGTCACGTATTATTTCCACATTTATGCCATAATTTCCTGCGTATGCATAGTCATGGCCATGATATCGACACCGGCCGGTCAATGGGCCGGCTGTAAGGCCCGTCGCAATTTACATGAAAAACTTCTGCAGTCAATTATGCACAAATCGTTGCATTTCTTTCAGGTCACACCATTGGGTCGTATCATGAATCGCTTCAGTAACGATATGGCTATCATTGATAAGGTAAGAATGGGGCTGGAAGGTATTCGGGGTGTGTGTGTGTAAATTTTGCGTCCATGATTTGTGCATTTTCATTGAATTTCCGAACATTTCGATTTAATGTTGTTTCTTTTTTTGATTTTTGTTTTTTTTTAGAAAATCGCCGCCACTAGCCAACGTTTACTGCAGTTCACTTTGTTATGCGTGTGTGCCATTCTAATCAATATTATCATCACTCCCTGGTTTATAGTGGTCACTGTGCCAGTGTGTCTGGCTTATTATGTTATACAGAAGTTTTATCGTTGTTCATCCAGGTAAGTGTGTGAGTGAGTGAATTATGAATTGAAGTTAATGTAAATTTTTGGAGGAAACAGGAACGGATAGAGTTTAATAAATTCGCTAAACTTTAACCAGTAGATCTTGTATAGTAGATAACATCTACTACGTAGTAGATGGCGTCCGTGCTTATCTTTTATGGAAATGTTCTTGGTCCCTTACACAGATGTTGCTACCAGCTCACACTAGTCTTTAACATATTACAAATTTAATAGCTATTGCTTGTGCTATGACGCCTACTATATATATATATATATATGTCTAGCCTGCGAATGTGGACCATTATATTTATTTTGAGAACACCCAATATTTGTCCGAATGAAGCAACATTTTGTACAGCTAAATGAATTAGAACCATATTGATTGATGTGTACGAAGTTTTCTGAAAGTCTGTTCAGATTTAGATGTAGCTCCCATATATAGTTTCGTCTTATTTTTTTTTGTAAATGGTGCACCAAAATCGCAAGGATTGTCTGATTGATACAAAATTTTGTACAACGTATTGAAATAGGTCCATATTGATGTGTACGATGTATTGTTGGAATCGGTTCAGATTTAGATATAGCTCCCATATATTAAATAACCCATTTTATCTAAATGGTGCACAAAACTCCCAAGGATTGTCTGATTGATACAAAATTTTGCACATTGTATTGAAATATGTCGTATACGATGTACACGTATAGCTGCCATATAAAGTTTCGTCCGATTTTATGTTAATAGTGCACCAAACTCCCAATATTTGACCAATTCAAACAAAATTTTGCATAAGGTACAGACTTAAATGGTGCTCCAAACTCTCAATATTTGGAGGTTCAATCTTAACCCCTGCATTGCCAATATATTTTATGTTGTAAATATCTGGGTTATTATGTTTTGGCTCCAAATCTAAGAAGAAAATTGGTAATGGCTGTTTATCTATTCTGCTTTTCAGATTCATCGGGAATAAATATTGGCGGTGGCTTTGGTTCTGATATTTCATCATTGGTTTGAATTTTATCATAATTTTTATTTTGTAACAAATTTAACATATTCTGTTTATGATTTTTAACAACCTGCCCATCCATGTCTTCATTGTTGTTAGTGTTTAAGGTATTCGAACTGAAAAGCAGTCTAGTGTGGACGCTTTTATTGTTGTCCAAGAACTTTTGTGTTTCGGTCGCAAAAGTGTTATTTTTATACCCTTCACCACTCTGTGGTACAGGGTATTATGTCTCTGTGCATATTTTTGTAACAGGCAAAAGGAAACGAGATAGACACATGGTTCCTTTTGAGAATATGCATAGAATCACTTTCTGAGTCGATTTATGCATGTCCGTCCGTCCGTCCGTCCGTCCGTCTGTCTGTCGATGTAAAATTGTAAACAAAGTACAGGTCGCATTTATAATCCGAATTGGATGAAATTTAGCATAGGTCACTTATTTGGCCCAAGGACGAACCCTATTGAAATTGGGAAAAATCGGTTCAGATTTAGATATAGCTCCCATATATATATTTAACCGATTTAATGTAAACGGCCCCTATATATCTTTCGATTTGCACGAAATTTGGTACAGCCTAATCATTTAGGTCTAGAATGATGTCTGCCAAGTTACGTAAAAATCGGTTCAGATTTAGATATAGCTCTCATATATATATTTAACCGATTTAATGTAAACGGTCCCTATATATCTTTCGATTTGCACGAAATTTGGTACAGCCTAATCGTTTAGGTCTAGAATGATGTCTGCCAAGTTTCGTAAAAATCGGTCCAGATTTACATATAGCTCCCATATATAGTTTCGTCCGATTTCATGTAAATGGTGCCCCAAAGTCCCTATATATCTTTTGATTTGCACGAAATTTGGCATAACGTACTGAATTCAGCCTAGAGTGATGTCTGCCAAGTTTCGAGAAAATTGGTCCAGATTTAGATATAGCTCCCATATATAGTTTCGTCCGATTTCATGCAAATGGTGCCCCAAAGTCCCTATATATCTTTCGATTTGCACGAAAATTGGTACAGCCTAATCATTTAGGTCTAGAATGATGTCTGCCAAGTTTCGAGAAAATCGGTTCAGATTTAGATATAGCTCCCATATATAGGTTCGTCCGATTTAAGGTAAATTGGGCAACAAAGTCTCTCTACATCCTTCGATTTGCATGAAATTTGACATAGTGTACTGAATTAGGTGCAGAACGATGTGTGCCAAGTTTTGAGAAACTCGGTTCAGATTTAGATACAGCTCCCATATATAGTTTCGTTCGATTTAAGGTAAATGAGGCTCCAAAGTCCCTCTATATCTTTCGATTTGCATGAAGTTTGGCACAGAGTACTGAATTAGGTCCAGAACGATGTGTGCCACGTTTCGAGAAAATCGGTTCAGATTTAGATATAGCTCCCATATATAGGTTCGTCCGATTTAAGGTAAATGGGGCACCAAAGTCCCTATATATGATTCGATTTGCACGAAATTTGGCATAAAGTACTGAATTAGATCCAGAATGATGTGTGCTAAGTTTCGAGAAAATCGGTTCAGATTTAGATATAGCTCCCTTATATAGTTTCGTCCGATTTAAAGTAAATGATGCACCAAAGTCCCTATATATCATTCGATTTGCTCGAAATTCGGCATAGAGTACTGAATTAGGTCCAGAATGATGTGTGCCAAGTATCGTGAAAATCGTTTAAGATTTAGATATAGCTTCCATATATAATTTTGTCCGATTTAATGTAAATAGTGCACCAAAGCCGATGCGTGTTGAATTTCATGAAAATCGGTTCGGATTTAGATATTTCTCCCACATATATTTTCGTCCGACTTAATTAAATGGTATACCAAAGTCATTATATATCATTCTTTATCAAAGTCCCTAAAATTTGGAAAGTTTTGGTGAAATCGGCTCAAATTTTGATAGAGCTACCATATATATTATCTCCCGATTTTTAATAAATGATGCACCAAGATCCTTAAATGTTTCTGATAGGCATACTGAAATTAGTATAACATAACCTGGGACAAGTTCCGATGAAATCGGTTTAGATTTTGATATAGCTTTTTTATTTCCGTCCGATTTTAAATTAAGTAACTAAATTTTTGCAACATATACTAATGTTGGAAAAATTTAGTATAGGTTGCAGAATGACATGTTTATGGATCCAATTTCATTTTACTTGTCCTTCAAAAATGCGACAACTCTTAGGATTCATCGGTTGAATATACCCAAAGTGGTGAAGGGTATCATATAGTCGGCCCCGTCCGACTTTACTACTTTCCTTACTGGTTATTGTTGGTAATATTACCATTCACAAATTCTTTCTGACAATAACAATTGCAATATATTTTTTTCTGATTTTTGAAAAATAATTTTGCTAGTACTGAAGTTAAAGTGCGTCTGTACAGAATGACTGTCACAGAGAGACTCCATCCGAATAAGATGAACAAGATTTGAACAAGGCATACCAATTGGCTCATGTCAATTTACCCTTAAATGGAACCAGATATAATACAAATAGAACATCAAAGACCTAATTCCCAATTGGCAGAGAATTTTTCATAGATTTCAAAAGTAAGTGTATGATTTGATTTAAATAGTTTCAAATATCTATATAGATCACACATTTCAGATTGTCCGATTTCATGTCAGTGGTGCCCCAAAGATGTTACGTAAAATTAAAGAAGGGTTCAAGCGACATTATAGATCTTTGATATTCGATTAGAAATTTGTACCAAATAAATGTAGACTGTGTTAGGGTAGCTTTGTGCGTGTATCACTTAATAGCTTAGTTTCTAGACTGCCTTATCGGAATGGTGTTTTACGAGTCACTATGTCGCTTAATGTACATTCCTGGTTTCCCTTTTTGGGATTCGTGTTTTAATACTGTTTACACATTTTTGCATTTGAAACCAGTAAGGAAAATTCAAAAGTCGGACGGTGTCAACTACATGATACCCTTCACCACTTTGGGTACGTACAAGAGATGCTTATATATACAATAACCATTAGATAGAATAGACAAAGCATTTTTGGAGACCATTAAAATGAAAAAACTGTGTGAACAGTGCGTTATCCAAAATTTATCTCGACACAAAATCCAATACACGTTATTCTAGGTTCCATTTAGAACGTTGTGCACTAATTCGTCCTAAGCGGACAAACTTCAGTTATTTAGTATATCACTTAGATTAAATCGGATGAAAATATGTATGGAAGCCATATCTAAACCTCAATCATCTTCAATCAAATACGCTATGCAATATTTCGTTTAAAGCGAACAGACATATAGTCCTCCATTTCAACCATTTACATAAAATCGGAAAAATATATGAGGGAGCTATATTCGCATCTGAATTAATTTCAACAACAAAATATCGTGAAAATAGAACATGGTGCATTATTTACATAAAATAGGACTAAAGTTATATGTTTGTCGTATTTAAATCTGGACCCATTTCAATCTTAACAAAAAGTATTCTAGACTAAATTCAATACCCGCTGCTAAATTTCGAGAATGTAGAATAGCCATTAAGGAAAGTAGTAAAGTCGGACAGGGCTAAATATATGATACACTTCACCACTTCGGAAATATTCTACATATGTATCCTCACAGAAGTCGCGTGTTTGTTATATATCTTAATCTGAACCGATTTCAGGCAAACTTGCCAGAGACTAATTTATATTACCTCAGTACGTTGTGTCAATCGGCTTAGCTATGGATTTTTTCCAGGGACCGAAAATAACAGTTATTTTTTAAAATGCGAACAAAAAAATCTTCATGTTAGAGACATGGGACACCAATAGTGTCGTATACCAATAGATTCGTATTGAGGAACCCATTAAGGATATTGAGTGATCTTGAGAAAACACTTTCAGTTCCCATGTTAAGGATTATTTTTTAACGGAAAAAATAAACGTTGATTTTTAACTGTTAAAAATGATTTTTATTTTTTCCGTCAAAAATAACAGTCTTTTTGGGACTTTTATTTTTTTCCGTCAA